GAGTGGGCAGCCCACACACAAATACCAGGTCCACTGGACAAAATGAAGGCTGCCATCCTATACCCGTTTTAATATACACCACATTAAATTTAACGGGGCTTACATCAGGATCGATTTGCCTAGGATTGTACCGTGAGACATTTAAGCTTCTCTGCCTGCTTAACCTGCTCAATTAACAGAGTAAGGTTTATTTGCAGGTAATCATTTTACAGAAGAGTTTTTATAGGAGGACTTTTACCCCTCCCCAAAAGGAGTCCGTAAAAATACTCAGATCATTAAAATTTCTCCATTAAGTGTCATAAACATGGCAAGCCATACCATTTTTATAGGCTAAACTATCAGTGCTATTAAATGTTATCAGGTTAACACAGTGAAACAAGTTTAGGTCTGATAAGAAAATACACAGCGCACAACAGTTTGTTCTGCAGGCTATTTTTTCCCAGGGTTCAGAAGCATTTCTCCACCGCACTCTTCCGAAATGCTGCATCCTGGCTCTCTTCCGTGAAATGGGCTCAACATCTGTGATGGCTGATTCTTGGCAAGCAATGTAAGGTAACTAACATTCCTGTTATGCACTGAGGCAAGCCATCATCGTTAATCTGGAGCCAGCAAATGAGGGGCTCCAAAGAACAAAGACATAGAAACAGATGGTATTTTAAAAAAAAACACCAATCATAGATAACCAACAGCAGCCCAAAGGGTGGGATCTAAACACACGCACATACAGAAACACATCTTGCCTTCATTCCATGTAATCACTCTCAAGGGGGACTCGATCCCCCGAAAGCCATAATCTGAACTAAAAATAACTTTAAACCACGGCCCTGTTTCCAGCAAACCCATCTGTTCTGCAAACAAGCAGCTGCTCCCCAGATGAAACAGGCAATGAACCGTGGCCGAATCAAGATCTGGGCGGCCCGACCCTTTGGATCAGCGGCAGGCCAAGCGCTCCCGGCTAGCGACCGGGCGCACAGGGAGGGGCGTCCCTTGAGGAACGGGAACGGCTCGCCAGTATGAAAAATCATTTTGTCGTGGCCGGCTTTCGGTCACTTTCCATGCAATGGTGTTTGGGAGAAAGACGTGTCAAGAGTTTAACCTGGTTTCACCATCTGGGTTTTTCAGACAGTCCTGTTCAGACATCGTGACAAGATATTCTCCTACAGAATTTTAGCCTGCTGTAACCAAACCGTCAAGATCCTCCCTTTGCAGTCCACGACTGTCAAATGGGGTAGCAGAGTTCATCTATTTCAGGACACCAAAAAAACCCAAATTAAAAAAAAAACAGGCTTGTGCACTGAGAGAAACTGACTTTAGCTTCTGTGGGTTGCAATCCTCTTCTCCCCATGCACGCCTGACGGATCAGTGTGCGATCCACAAGAAACGGGGGCTAAAATAAACCTTTCCATTTTAAGGACTTTTCTCCCCACGGGTTGTTTACAACACAGCATGGGCTGTTTCTCTGATTTTCTGGGGAGGAGACAAACCACAAGGGCTCCAATGTCAAAATAAACAAGCCTCGGATCTTCTGTCTGTGCCTCGCTGGGATGCTCCGGCTCTCAGCCACTCTCCCCCTGCAAGGCTCCGCTTCAGTCTGTGATGCGAGCCTTCTCTTAATGCCTGGATCTTCCCTGTCTTGATTGAAGGGCTGGATCTCAATTAGAGTAGACCACTGCATGCAGGCTATGTATTAAAGTCAACGTTTGGGTAAATCCTGTGGATTGGGCAGGATTTCTCTTCCCACCCCAGTGTGGAGTAACAACTGGAGACGGGCCAAAGATTTCCACTTAATCCACGGCACAGACCAGGGTTGGACCCCCCATAGGTTCCAGCTGTAAGATCTGGGTCACCCACATCTGCACAGTTTTGCAACATCTGATGGCCCAGGCCTGAATGTGGGGAGGTGGGGATCCAGGATGGGGAAAGCGATAAGCTACTTTCTGTTTGCGCTCAGAAATCACAAACTAACCCCCCCCCCCAAGATAGGACTTCTGTATCTACAAACAGAGATACAGAGGTTATCTCTCTGTGGCCGGGAGAAGAAAGTGACTGTCTTGCCAACAATTCCTCATTGTTTGTGTCCCAGGGTTGCAAGCTTCGTTCAGATAAGCACAGCCTTGAAGCCAAACTGCCCTCAAGCCTCCCTCCTCCTTGCTGCTGGATCTTGGAGACGTCCTGGGATGGGAGGAGGGAAGTTCTTCAGCGATGAGACCATCGGAGTGTCTCCGCACAAGCTTCTCCTGCCTCCAGAGGAGGGTGGCTTTGTTGGGTGGCTGCGCTGCGGCTCAAGGGAGCACACAACAATTCTCTAGCAGACAATTCTAGGACCTCGCCAGACCACAAATCCCATAATTCCCCAGCAATTAGTGGGATCGAACACTTACAACTCTTAAATTAAATAAATAAGATGAAAATAAATAAATAAATACAATGTGTGTGGTATAGACAGAGCAATACCCTGGCTACCGTGATGCCACACAGCGCTGTTTCATTATTAGCGCAGTGCCACCAGTGGCCATTTTGGTGGGGCCCGAAGGAGTGCAATTGGCCTGGGGGCCATATTGTGGCACTTGGAAGGGCCACATGCATTACTCTTCCATGCTTCGAGTTCAATATTTCTGTGAGATTTTCACCTGTCCCTTAGGGCACTGTTAAACTGCCCTGTTTAGCGCTGTTTCACTTAGCACTCTGTCTGCTATTAATGCATCCACAGCGCTAAGGTATTACTGTACACACTTTGAGACCTGTGATAATCTGGAGCATACAGTTAATGCGAATTCGATTATGCTCCATATGCTTTCCTTACTCATGGACCCATGTGGAACATGTATGCATGCATCCACAACATCACTGTTGTGCTCAAATGCCCCTAAAAATATAGTGGGTCTCCTCTGAGCAATTTAGGCTGAACACTCAATGGTTTTTCTTCTGAAAGGGGGAGCCATCTCAGCTGCGGGAACTTCCCACTTTGCGAATACATCCAGTGCCAACTTTCCATTGTTCATCTGCTGCACTTCCCCCTTGCTTTCATCCTGCAATTCTGATCACCACAGGGTAGACCAGGTGCTACAGAAATTGCTAAGCCTGGCTCCAGAAGCTAACAGGGTCTCTCTCCTTTGGCTCTGGCCATTTCAGTAAGCATTGCCTCTGTTCATTCAGGCACTTCTTCATAAGGCCCAGAAACTGTCTTTTTAAAACTGGTTGTAGAGGCTCTAAGGAAGCAAAATTCTGTACCCCTAGCCACCCTCCAGAGAAACATGCAACTCCTAGGGCCCTGTTTAATTAGGGCTTCTTACACTGGCTTTGGGAGAGGAATGTGAAACCTGGAGGGGAAATTATGAACACAATCTAGCCAACTTACAGGGTTTCTTCATGATGCAACGGACCCCCTCCCAGTTTCAAGGGTTTTACACGTGAATGACTTCAAATCCCTTTTCCATGTCATTGGCTTCATAAGAATGAAGCCATGTTTTATTTTAACCACTTGTGTTAAATTTAAGAGGAGCCGAAGGTCCTTCTTGATGGTGAGATAACGCCCAAAAGTTTTCCAAGGGTTTGCTTAAAGTAATGTTTACGGGCACCAAAAATAGCCACAGAAAGAAGGTCTCAAAGCACAGCCCCGGCGAAAGGTGATCATTTAAAAGAGTCCGATGGACTTAAGCCAGAGAGCGTTAAGCGCCTGCTTTGCTTTCCCACGGAAGTTGACGGGCCTTTGTTTCATTCTGGGTTGGAGAGAGGGGGCTTCGCACCCCACCGTTCTTTCTCCCCCCCCTTTTGTTGAACTGAACAATCGTTGCCTTGCTTCATGGTGTAACAAAAGCCATTGACTCCGTGGGGGGGGGATACCATTTCTGCCCCGAAGGGTCCACGTCACAAAGGATCTCTTCAAGCAACCCAGTACGGCCTGGGCATGCGACCGGCTGGTGAACAGTGGCCGCACAGCTCAGGGGTTTAAGGCACCTGGCTGCGCAAGCCAGAGGTTGGGAGTTCGATTCCCCCCACCCTCCGGCCCCACTGGGCTTCCTTGACAAGCACTGGATTCCGGGACCCTAAAGTCTTCTTCCACTTCTAAGACTCCTCCACCCAACCACTTCCTTTCACCTCTGCCATTCCTTCCACTTGGCAGGTGGTGTCTCTCCTCTCTCCCCCCCACCCCCGGTTTCTTCGCTTGAGCACGGCGGCTGTGAGATCCCATAAGGAACCCAAAGTTACCTCTGGATCCCCAGGCCTGCCGGATCCTGCTCACCCCTTCTTTCCACCTCTTACACTCCCGCCATTCCACAAGCTGTTTCACGCCCTCTTTTCACAACCCCAGATGGGGGGGGGAGGGGGCTCTGCAGCCGCCCTGGTTTTATTTCACTGGAAAAGCTGCTGTGCCATCTGAGGCACAACACATCTGGAAACCGTTTTTACCCCTCTGCACCTGTTTTAAGCCTGAGAGGAAGCTCCCCCCCCAAAAAAAGTCATTTCACTTTTGGAAAAAAGTCCTTCGCCCTCCCCTGAACAACCCAAAACTAGTGGCAGGGGAGAGGGCAAACTTCTTTCCTCTTGCGGCCCCAGAAAAGTCTGGGTTTTATCCGAATATAACTGTGCTCCTTCTGGCCAAGAGGCTTAGCCTTTGAATGTTTGTGACCAACATTAACAGCAGATTGTCATGTCACAATTCTGCAAGCCTGCACAGCTATAAACCTGAGCATCGAATATTACGCTCCGTTCATCTGAAGAACTGAAACTGTCATCCACGCACCCTCATGAACCCCCCCCTTCCCCATATCTGTTAAAAGTTCATACGAAATGTTTCTTCTTTTTCCTTGAAAGAAATAAGCATGTCCAGCTGGACTCAAGGATCTAGAGGGTCCCTTCTGGCACTACTTATATTATCTGTGGTGGACTTCAGCCACACAGTGTTATGTTGATAGGGAAGAAACGGGCCAGCACCCCACTTCCCAAGAATATAACCTCCGCCATGTTCGTAGGTGCACAGTGCACCAGACTACACCTACCCTCATCCCCAGGCCGTGGCGTCCAGCTGTCGTTCGACACCTCTGGAGTCCACTAGATCACGGGAAGATGTCCAAGCGCATCGACTGGGGTGGGGAGAGGTCCTTTGTCACAAAAGGGGGGGTTGCACCCACAAAAAGAGTTGCAACCTCCCCCAGCCTCCTTAAGCAGCCACGCTTGAGCTCTGGCTGGTATTCAAACAGGAAACCCGCGCATGGGGCACCACGGAGTGATGATGACGCTCCAGAGTTCCTCTTTTAGGGCTTCTTCTCTGGCTGCCCCTCCCCCCACTTCCCCATCCTCTCCAGATCAGAGAACAAAGTCGAGAACAATGCAAGACATCGCCAGGGCTTTTTTTTAAGGGGGTGTCCTTTCAGCCTGGCACAGCAAAAGCTAAAAATCTAGGGGATGTGCTGGGAGGAAAAGGCAAGCATCACACCATTCAAGGATGATGACTCCCCAACAAGCCAGGGCACCCCCCACCTTCCAGCACTGACTCTCTGACACCCCCCCCCCAGTCCTGCTTAATCCCCTCCCTGCTCCAGGCAAAACAAAGCACCTTGGATCGCATCCCTTCTTTGCGCACAAGGTAGCAAAAAGGGCACAGACGCCCCCCCTCCCAGGACGCGCAACCAAGCTCGTCTCTAACCCCTAGGCTCCTGTCCCGGGGGGGGGGATGCGCGTCCGTCCCAGCCCTTCTCCTCCACCTTGCTTTGCAGCGGCTGCGGGGCCTCGCAGGAGAACTTCTCGGCCACGGATCGGGGCTCCCCCCCCGTCCCTTCTCCGTCTTGGGCCGGGACTTTCGGCGCGCTTCCTCGGGAGTAGGGTAAAAGCCGCTCGGGGAAGGGGGTCGCCCCGAGAGGGAAGTGCTCAGCGCCGAATCCGGATTGGGCCCCAGAGGAGAAAGCCCGACCGCGTCCAAGAGCGGTGGATCGGGCTTGAGGACTGGAAACTTGGGGTTCCTTTTAAAGTGTCGCCCTAATTTTTGCCCAGGGCTTCTTATCTGAACTGCCCCCCCCAACACTGTACCAGAAACGAGGGGGGGCGGTGGAGGATGCTGCTGCTGGACAGGGCCCGGAGGGTGATGATGGCCAGAGGAGAGGAGAAAGGAAGTGGGCGGTGGGGGGCTTCTGTTCCACCCAGGCCCCCCCTCCCCTCCTCGGACCCCCCAGCCCTGGGCGCCCGGGTAGGTCCCGATCCAACGAAACCGAGGAGGGGAGGCAACCTCGCGAGGGGGCTTTGGGGCGGCGAACTCGCAAAGGACCCCCCCTTCCCCCTTGGCCGGCCGAGGAAAGACAGCCGCGGAGGCAGGGGGGCTGGAGAGGAAGGGTCGCCGAGGCGCGCTTACCTTGCGCTGCGCGGAGCCCCGATCCCCGACCCCCGTCCAGCGCCGGAGCAGAGAGGGCGGCGGCGGAGGCAGCAGCAGCTGGAGCGGGAGCCGCCGCCCCTCTCCCCCTCCCTCGG